CCAAGCACACTTAAAAAAGCAATTCATTTTTTAGTCAGTCTTTCTTTGGGTTATCTGAGTCGAAGATGATGGTGCTCTGGCTCTGTAGTACCTCCCTCTTGCTTCACCATGAATCTCTGGTGTGAACAGGCAAACTTTAAAACTAAAATGCAGTGCTGTGAAAAAGTATTCGCCCTTCATGAGTTCATAGATCTTTGCTTAGTTCTCACACGTTTCAGAAAATATAACTATGCCACCCACAGCAGCAAGTATAACTGTCAATGATCTGTGTCAGATCGCTATGAAGGAATGTTGTCCCACTCTTTGAAGAATTATTTCAGTTTAGCAGCTTTGCGGGGTTTCCAGCATGAACAACCTGTATAATTCATGCCAGAAAGTCTCAATGAGATTAAAGTCCAGACTTTACCTTTTGGTTTGGTTTGGTTTGTTGGTTGTCTTTTGTATCCAAGTCTTGGGGATCATCAAGATGTTTTCTGGTAAATGTGAGACAGTCGCTCTGTTCTTTTCGGTCAGCAGTGGTTTGCTCGTTGGAACTCTCCCATGGATGCCATTTTTTTTTCTCTTAGTAAATTAAATCATCATTTAAAAACTGCATTGCTTTTACAGGGGTTATCTTTTTCTAATGTCAAAATTTGTTTTATGATCTGAATCATTTAAGAGGGAGAAATTTGGGGAATAACAAAACTATGAAATCAGGAAGGGGGTAAATGGTTTTCACAGCACTGTACAGACTTTTTATTCTTTTTCAGTTAATGTAACTTCTTCCTGTGGCATATTGAATGGGAAGAGCATCCCATTGTAAATATATCATGTCCACTATCTTGTTTATGTCAGATGTTTGTTAACTAAATAATGAGATGTGTGTGAATGTGAATGGGCTTACTGTCTCTATTTTAGTCTTTAGTTTTTTTCTTTTTTCATGTATTTTATGTACACTGTGACGCGTTTCAGTGAGTGACCCTTCCCCCCACTAACTGTCTTTATGTTTTAGTCACTTCAGATTCACAACTTACTGTGAATCACGTTCACTGTATGTTCACATGTCCATCCACTCTTAATCAGAACTGGTTCTTTTATCCGCTCTGATTGGAACAATGTGATGACTAATGTTGGATGGTAAGACTTTGTAATAGCCATTGCTAATAAACCACAAATTGATTGTTAATTAATCTTTACTAAGCGGTTAATTTACTAGAAACAAACAATGATTTGTTTTAGTGTTAATGAAGTTATAACTTAGATTTAGTAGCTGTTACATTATGATGTCACCAACACAAGGAACATTTTATAAACTTCTGTTATGTGTTTATTGCAAAACTGCATTAGCATTTCGGTAATGATTAACCTGCCTGTTTTCACTCCCGGGGGATTAAATGCTGCTGTTTATTCAACTGTGCAGGTGTCTCACATGTATGCACAAGGTGTCCCTTTAGCCTTGGTCCTTGAATATTTACCCAAACCACAATCTTTTCATAAACATATGCAGTATTTTGAGGGCCTGCACCAAACCAAACAACAAATGTAAACAGCAAGTGACAATAAAACTACACACCGACAGAGACGTCACTGTCCAGGTTCCCAACTCTTATGATTTTTAGTCCACTAGTATCCATCCTTAGCAATGGTTATCATGAAGTGTTATCTGGCGGCTAATCCTTTTGTTTCCACAATTTTTAAAAAATATATATATTATGTTAAGCCAATGTTATAGAGCTTTACAACCGTAAGTAGTGTAGGTTTTGTCTGCTGTTGGTGATTTTCTTACACTCCCTGTTTCTGGGTTTTGGGTCGCTCCTAGGGCCAGGTTCTTTCTCACGCAATGAATGGAAGTACTAGCCATCCACATAGGCCGCTGTCTCCCCCGTCATATCCTCCACCTCCTGTCTCACTCCACACGGGGCTTCAGAGACAGAGCAGGAGTTCAGGTGAGTCACTGATCTGTGGTGATATATGACATGCCTAAAAAGATTGAAAGACATTAGACTTAAGACTACACAAGCACATGCAGAAAATAGAACCTAAGTTCAGTCAGATAATTGAACTGAAACCTCTCACAGAGGAACAAACGTTACATCATTGCTTACATCATTGTAAATGTAAAAGGATCTTTACAGTGTAACTGTAAACGTTAAGATGCCAAGTAAGGTGTATGTATCTATGTCTCAGGATTCACATATAATCTATATCTGTAGCAGTCTATCCATTACAAACATTTAACTGGAGCTTGTGGAGGTCCTGTATTACTAACACGTCTGTCTCCTCTCTCTGCTTCCTTCTTGGATCCAGAGGGCAGTGAAACAGTCACCAGAGAGTCTGTGATGTCAGGGCACACCAGCATCAGCAGCACTGTGCCCATTGCCCGTTTCTCAGAAGAAGAAAAGAAGGTGTCGGTCATTAAAGCCCCCCACTACGAAGGCATCGGCCCAGTTGATGAGTCAGGCATTCCTATCGCCATCCGCACGGTGAGAGAACTCGTACAGGGAGCAAACACATTGCTTTCCAGTAGACCTGCTCTCGTAGATGCTGTAGTAAAGCAGAGGAGTTTCTTTGAAGCCATTTTCTCCTGCCTCCTTGTGTGAACAGGTTTTTTAAGCAAGGAATTACTTGAAGCTGTCAGCAGCTTTTGACCCCATGTTCAAAGACTCTCTCCCGCTCTCACTATCTCAGTTTCGCTTCCTTCTGTGTGCTAGTCATGAAGATGAGCTCAAACAAGGTCTTTGCTTTGGTACTACAAGGTCCTTGCTGATTACTTGTCAAGGAGCGTGTCCCTGTGTGTTATCTCTGTTAAGGCTTTCCGTGTATTAACACTTCACTCAGTTATTGGTTGGTTGAAGAGCAGCATTTAAAGGAATGCACGCTGAGCTACAAAATGAGAGAAAGAGAAATGGGGAGAATAAGAGACGAGCAATAAACGAAAAGAGCTGAAAAGAGACGAAAGCAGGAGAGAAGAAAAACAGATGCTCCTTGTTTTAAGCGGGCAAACATTTTTGTGGCCACTCTGTTTGGTAACCGTGGAGAGTGAAGTGGTAATTGGCGCGTCTCTTGGCTGTGCCAGTGCTGCGTGCACAGTCACACACTCTTTCTCTGTGGAGCCAAACTGCCTCCTCTCTGACCGGAATCCAGGCACATTGTTTAGTGCTACTGAATAAAGAGAGGATTAAGTCTCTCTGCCATTTGATGGGTCTTTTTTTAAGTGTCTGTTAGATCTATACTGTTTACACAAAGGCACACATACCAGGGTCTCTCCTTGATTCTCCAGCCACAGCAAGCAGAGCCCCCACTTTGTACCAACAAGGATTCGACACCTTTGTGGTTCAAAACTGAACCTGCTGAGGCAGCTTGACTCGAACATACACACTGATAGTCATACCAAAACAAAATGACATAGTAGTCATTCAGGTAAGTGATAGTGTGTCATTTGTGGCTATTTAAACTATGCATTTAAATATTCTGACCTTACATAAACATCATGTTTTTTTAATTGCTCACTTTAAGATCTCAAAGTCATAGTTATAAAGAAGGACCCCACAGCCCTACTAAGGGCTGCAGCAAGTGTCTGATTTTAGAATATTACAAAAGTAGTTGCCCATGCTACAGTATCGTTTGTCCTGCTGACACTTAATCACACTGAGAAAAGCATAAAAAAGGAGTGGTAAATACAGGCCATATGCTAACAACGGATCATTTTAGCCCATTGCTAAGTAATGATGTCATGTAATAATAATGTATCATGCATAATTTGAGTTTTGTGTATATCTGTTGAATGTTATTCTCATGAAATTAAACCTATGAGATGATTTTATAAGGTGTTATAGGCACAAAATGCTAAAAATTAGTAATTTTAGCCATTTTGTTTGCTTGCAAAAATGACGATATAATAGTTGATATAACCAAAAAATGTCCTTAAGGTCTCTGAGGAATATGCAGACACAAACAGAGGTTCCACATATTATCCACATATTTAAACACTATCACTGCCAAATATTCTAAAAATCTGTTTTTTCACAGCTCCTGTGTTTCTTTTCATATGAATATTCAGTGTAAGTTCTTGGTGAGACTTGTATGGTTACTAAATATTATCAAAATTTCTGTCTAAACAAAATCTTAACCTTTTAACAAATGTCAAGTGAAAAACAGTTATACAAGTTACAAACACACTATGTGTGAAAAGCAGCCATACAGAGCAGGAGTTGTGTGAATAAAGCAACTTTAGCCAGTGGTCAGACACTAGCCTGATATTTGATGTAGGGATGCACCAACTAAACGTTGGCCCGGGTTTCATAATTAGTGCTTACTTAATTTAACGGGTTTGTTTGTTTAAAACAGAAAACGACAACACACAAGCAGCCATAACAGAATAACCTTATTGGCAAATATAAATATTTCTCTTGGATAAGACGCAATCTTGGTTTTATTCTTTATATTAGTTATAGTTATATTAGTATTAGTCTGTTTATATTAGTTAAATTATTTATATTAGTTATATTATCCCTGTGCGAAGTACAAATGCTTCAAAAGGCTTACTGTGTTTTTTCAGCTCTAGAATGTCCAATAACATGTTGTGAGTCCGTTTATAGTTTCTAAATTCAGCCTTCACATTTGTGTTACATTTAACGGCACATAACTCTGGTTATTTCTTTGTCTGCAGACGGTGGATAGGCCCAAAGACTGGTACAAAACTATGTTCAAACAGATTCACAAAGTTCACAAAGCAGGTAAGGCCTCTGCTGTAGCGTGCTGAAATGATGTGCAACGACTAGATTATTAGACATTTCATGCAGAATTGGTCATGTATGCATGCTGTTTGTATGCGTGTGCATATTTTGTGTGTGTGTGTGTGTGTGTGTTTGCATGCCAGTTCTCATTAAACCAAAAGACCCAGATGATCCCAGAGCCAGAGCTCGTTAGATTGCGAGCAACAGCCTGGAGAGGAGGAGGAATGGAGAGAAACCTCTAATAGACACAGAGCCATCCTGGGAAATCTGCTCTAATTTTGTGGGCTTGACAGAATCACAGAATCAGTACAAGGCTTGTTTGTTCTAAACTGCTCAGCCTTCTGCTACAAGAGCACACACAAAAAACTCATGCACTCTCAGATACACAGACTATTTCATGGGTGTGTGCGCTGAGAACTCATCCAAAGGCTCATTATGGTCTTGATGCATTTTATTTTTGTGATTTTACTGGAAGCACAGGCAGTAGTATGCTTTCCCCATCCTGCAACCTTGATTCGTTTTAGTCAGAATTTCAGTCATCTTTCATCTTTAAAGTTCAGAAAGAGTTCTGGGAAAGTGGATCATGTTGCTTTGGTGCTTTTAATATACTTGTAGCTGAAAAGAAAATCACTTGTGTAACTGTTCATTTCCAGGCTGGTTAAAAGTGCTATCTTTGAGGACAAACTTGTACCCTGTGTACAACAAAGTGTGCTTACACGTGTTCCCAATCAACTGTTTTGTACATTTCCTCTACAGATGACGACTATTCCGACACATACAATGCTTCATATGCTCTCGTAAACAATGGTGAGACCTGCTCCTGTGTAACACAAGTTGTATTTCCTAAAAATCAATAACTTCTTCCCAACCTTCCTTTCTGGCTTACTGGCCTCATTGCTTCTGCCTCCACTCTCTCCTCCATCCTGTCCTTGCCAGATAACTACAGCCTGTCATCCAGCACCACCATGGCCCACCCTGCCCCTCGGACACATACGTACAGGCCTCTGTCCAAGAGCCCCTCAGATAACAATGAAGGGCATCTTGGACCTCGGGAGCTTTCACCATCCCCTGTACCCCCACCACCTCCACCCATGCCATCCCTTCTCCAACTGAGGGCGAGAGACAGTGATCGCGAGAGGGACTTGACAGACGCGTAAGTGCGAACTTTCTCAATATTAACTAATATTGATGATATATTGATATGCTATAATATTTTTAATAATCTTTATTTTAATGTCAGTTATCTCAAGCGTTTTTTTCTGAAAAAGCATGTGTTTGTTTCTCTCACACCAGCAATGAATGGGGTCCTCCAGACCGAAAAGTGGACACGCGAAAGTACCGCGCAGAACCCAAGAGTATTTTTGAGTACGAGCCTGGGAAGTCCTCTATCTTGGAGCATGAAAGACCAGTGAGTAATTTTTTTATTAATATTTTTTTAAATACTGAAATTCCCACCCCTCTTAAAATATGCAGAGAAATGCCTCCCTGTTTATCTTCACCCTGGCATCGTGTGAGAACATCAAGTGATTTCCTCACAGTGTTTCTTGGTATCGTTTGGTAGAAGATTAAATAATTCAGTCACTGCTCAGGCTGTTTTTAGAGTGAAAAAATAGTCACAAGCAAGAGCGCCTTTTTTTATTTATTTATTTTTTTGAAACTTGCTAGTCTGGTAGACAGACATTAGTATGTCATTATATTGTTGGCTTTCACATGGCTCTTCTTCTGTCAGAGACAATGTGGGCGTTAAAAGCTTCCAGTGCTTACATCCGCTAGCGACAGTACTCAGTGTTAATATTTGTGTGGGGTGAAGGACAAAGCAGATAGCAGGAAAAAAATGCAAAAACTGACTGTGTTGACAGGCGGGACTGAAAAAAATAGTATTTGAGATTAGGACGGAATAATGAATAATGTGTTATAAATGAGATGTGTTTGCAAAAAAAAAAAAGGCTGTTTCGCAGATGTTTTATGTGATGACTGCTGAGAGTGCTCCCAGGGCAATAATGCATGAGTCACTTCCTGATAGACAGAGGTAATAAAGGAGAAAGCTGTAGAAGGACCCACGCTGTCTAATGTGCTGCTCGGTATAATTTTTTTTCTCCATTAACCAAAGTAAAAAAGTGTCACCCCTAAAACAACCTGTATGTTGATGACGCACCCGTTTGGGTAATTATGGCCTTTAAGAGGCAAAAAACGTTTTTCTGTTACTCTTGTTCTTTAGATGTGTGTGTGCAAGTGTCCCTAATGCATTTGTGTGATTGGCAGTCTCTGCTCCAGGCTTCTGTTTTGTTTTTTTTCCAGGGTGACTCATCCATCTGAAAGCTGAATTTTCTTTTAAGCCAGAGATGTAGCACTACAACACCTACAAAACATCTCCTGGCAGTTTTTCATTTGGCATGAAAACTCAATTTTATGTGGGATTGGGGTTAGAAAGAGCAGACAGCGTGGTAAAACACACAATGCCATCTCTACAGTTCAAGTAACAGTAAATGGAAACAAATCAAACAAGCTGACCTTTTTTTATTAAAATGTGTCTTAAAAGGCATCAAGACATACAAGAAAACTAAAGCAACTAAAACATTAATATGGACATCATTTTAAAACGTGAAAAACATCTAAATGTTGTCTTTTTTCATTCACAAACATTCACTTCTGAGTGGTTCATGGTGCTGTTTGTGCTTGATGTTTATAGACTGTATAAATGCATACAGCAGCACAAAAGCGTAGTCAGTTACAGTTATTATTTACATGTTTAGCCTGAGCCCTTTTTGGATTGTGGCAGTTTGTTGCTCTAGACTGACTGACCACTGTACTGTAGGAGTGAAATTTGAGCTGTAAATGGGCTCTGCTGCAACACTTTTGTTTCCATGGGCAAGCCTTCATCCTGGTTCATCCTGTGCCCATCTCCCTTTGCCACCTGTGCCCATTCCTAACCACGAGGACCATGTCTCTCTTTGTGTGTGACTTCTTTCCACACTTCCTTTCTCCTGTCTTTCTTCTACTTCCTCTCTCTGTCACTGTCATGCTTTCCCAGACCTATGATGACATAGATTTAGAGAACGAGCCTTGGTATAAGTTCTTTTCCGAGCTGGAGTTTGGGCGGCCGGTAAGTCAGGGCCTAGCTACTCCTTTAAACACAACTCTGTCATAGGCATACACCCACTATCTCCGCTCCACCCGGGACTTTTTTTTAATGTCTGTGCTATTAGACTGGGTGGGGCTAGTTGTTTGGGCATGTGAGACTTGTTTGGTGCTTGTTTGGTGCCCCCTTCCTTACCCCCAAAACACCTTTGTGACAAACTGCGGTTTATCTCTCTGCTGCTGGGGTTTTTGGTTCTTTGACTAGCAGGCACTAAAATGCTCACACGTGAACCTCGACACTTTTATTTCAGTTGGTTCATTTCTGCATCTTGTTCAAAAATAAGCAGGAAATGGTTTAAAGGCAGTGGCCTCCAAACGTTTGAGATAACTTGAGGTCATGAACAGTCAAAACATTAATAAAAAAGATGCAGTAGCAGAGATTAGACTGATATTTACTTTTTGCTCTAAACTCTTTCTTAAATAATTTGTGTAATTTTGTTCAGTATCTATCATACAGTTCTTTGCGAAAGTCTTTAGCCACTTCTAAATTCTTCATATTTAGCATCTAAGAAGCCAGACTTTCTTGTAATTTCTTTAGTTCTCTGGGCTTTCTGAAGTTTTTCTTTGGACATTGGCTGCTTTTTCAATCTGCTTTTTCATTCCAGTCATTCTGCCTCACCATTTTTCATTCAAGCATGAAACAGGCTCCTAAGTCAAGGAATGAATCAGTGTTGTCTCTACACATATGACAACTTGGAAAAGAACCAGTTTTAAATATTACATTTAGGCACTTTGTTACTAGCAGCCTGTCACGAAAAACACATAATTTGTTCCCATTTCTTTAGCTAAATCCATGAAAATAGTTGACAGGCATAACATAACATACTATTGTTGTAAAACTTGGTGTGCAGTGTGAGTTTTAAAAATTTCTAGGAAACTGGACAAGTTGGGGACAAAACAAGAAATGACCTAAGAAGGCATAAAAAAATGGTTACAGCTAAAAGTCATGTCCTCGAGAAGTAGGAAAAAATCAGTAAAGACCTGACAAGACCTGAGAGATGCAGCTAATCCTTCAGCTTATTGGCAGCAGGCTTTATAATCATGAATCTGAATTTGAAACTTTTTGTTCACAAATTGTAATCAGTATGTACAGAGGAGGTCTAGAGAGAGGTACAACAGTGTCTGCAGCCATCTATTAAACACAGTGGAGGCACTGTCATGGTTTGGGGCATTTCAGCCTGTGGTATTGGGAGAAAGCGTCTGGTGGCTTAATTTTTCAGCATGATAATGACCTCAAAAGCAATGCCAATGCTGTAAAAGCATACCTAGGAAGTAAAACACTATCAGTTATGTATTGGCCTTCCCAGAGCCGGGACATTAATATTAATGAAGCCTTGTGGTATCATCTTGACAGAGAACAAAACAAAAGGCAGAAACACTGAAAAAAAGAGCTGCAGCCTGGAGAACTATTGCTGAAGTCTACTTAAAGAAATGACAAGAAAGCTGCCTGAGAGAGTTCAGACTGTGGTGAAGAACATAAAGAATAAGAATGGCTCAAGACTTTTGCGTAGTACTGTACATGCCAGTATTTATTTGTCAATCTGCCTTTACATACCCTGTTTATTCATTTGATCCTTGCAGTACTATGAGGGAACTCTCTGCATACTTTGAAGCTAAATGCTTTAGTGCCCTCTGATGGATGTAAGTGGTAATAATGTCATAGTGACTTGAAACAGAGATCGCCTCCAGTCATAAATGTGGGATCAAATTACCCACAACCTGTCTGATTTGCAAAGTGTCACATGGACATGCCTCTGTCCATGCCAGCGCATGACATCAGGTGCTGACTTGCTGGGCTTATTCGAAATGTTCAGGTGAAAATTTCACATTCAGATCTGGCATGACTTTCTGTCTTCTCACAGTCATGTTTAGCTGTTTTGTGAGATTTCTACCTGCAATGTTTTCACTGTTTCACATCACTCAATAAGCCCTTAGAGTGTAGACATTTTATCTGACTGATACGGCCACGGTCAGAACCACACACTGTGTTCAGTTTTCGATTGAGGCGATAAGTCACAGCATTTGATTGTGCAAGTCCTTGCACTCTCAAAGAAACACAATGTCGCAGCTTGTGCTTCACTTTGCTTTTTGCTTACAGCTTGTTCTTACACTCTGCATGTGTGTGTGGTAAATAGGCACAGTTGCGTGTGTTGGTGTGGTTTATAGGCTGGTGTAGTAGGCCTGCGTTGTTTTAGCCTCGACAATCTGCAGTTTAAGGGAAAAAACTAATAAATAGAATACATTAGAAAGTGTATATCAAAGAACGTGTGTGATGAATAGATATATGTAGGTGTGTGTCAATGTGTTGGTGTAAGTGCACAAGTGTCTGATACAAGCAAATCACATGTGCTGTGGTTGTCTGGTTACTCAGATTCTCTAACAGGTGTCACTCTCTCCACATGTTTTTTTTTTTTTTTGTTTCCCCCCCATGATGTCACCACCGCTTCTCCTCCTTCACCTCCTCCATCTTCACCTTCTTATTCCTCCTCCTCTTCTCCTCCCCTTCCTGCTCACTGCTGCTGCTTGGGGCTCAAGCCTCCTAAAAAACGGCTGGATTATAATCCAGACATCTCCGCTCGCCAGCGCATTGAGGTAATCTCACATTCACAAGTGTTCCAGTAGTGTTAATTGTACCATTTCTAACCCGTCACAGCAATCAGGATCTCGATTGCTAAGACATATTTAAGATACGACTGCTAAAAATGAATGTACTGTGAGTTTAAATTAAAATGCTAGCCATTTACTAAAATTTGAGTGGGTTGTTTTGTGAAGGCTGTTGAACATTTGAAGCTTTGAAGTGCTGGTTCACGTCATTCTTTTTTATCAGCCTTTGGTAACATTACAGTATGAGCTCAAAACTTTAGAAAACCAATAGATGCTTCAGACATAAGTGTCCACCCATCATTTTTCTCAATCCAATTCAGTCTAGTTCATGATCATGGGGGTTGAGGACTTGCACCTACCCAAGTCATCATAGGGTAATCACACATTTATCCCAGTATAAATGTGATTGCAATCGATGCTGTTGATTTCCCTACTTTTGTCATCAGCGTTGAACACTCTATACCACTAAGACCCATTCCAGCTGATCCATGCCAGTTTTTGCAGGGTAACATTTGCCCCCCTGAGCTGAACCTCCATAACACCCTTCAGTGCATCACCTTTTCCATCATCCTTCAGAGCAGCACGACAGAGACCAGAAATTTGTCTTCGGTATGTGTGCACCAGCAGGGCCTCTTCTTGGTCAGGTGTGCCATGTGGAACCAGCATCCATTGCGCCTTACGCTGGGGGAGTGTTTTGAGTGTGGCACAGCAACAACCGCATGCAGGCTGTGTATTGTAAGCTGCTCTGCCTCAAGTCTTTGTTCCTGCGGGCTCACTTTTCTCTTTTGTTGTCTGCCCTATTCCAGACATCCCTCCACATCACTCCTGCTGACAAGGCTCCAGAGAGACCTGCAAGGTAACTGCTGCTTCTTTTATTTTCCTCTGCATCACCCTCATCCCCTCTTCCCCCTCCCCCATCCTTTCACCAGCAGCTGTCCTTGTTGTGATTCAGCTCAGTAGAAAAACTAAGGTCTTTCTCATATTGTCGCTCGCACAAACATCCCGTGCGTGTGCAGTAAATGATGACTTGTGAAGTCTTAATTTTGCTTTTGTCACTGATGGTAGGGCGCTTTGCCTCGTTTTTGTTTTTTGTTTTTTCACAAGCTGAGCCAGAATAAATGAACCCAGCAAACCTATTGATTCTGCTCTTCACCTCCTGTCCTTCCCTCAACCCCCATTCCTCCCCTCATCCCACTCCCTTTCATCAATGGCCTGCTTATTCAGATGCATTATACTCTGTGAAGAGAGAGGGCAGAGCGGGGATGTGATGAATAGGCCGGGTCATTTATTTAACTGTCCTGAACAGAAAGCCCCCTTGGATTTTTAACATTTAAAACTCAAGTTACTTTATTCCCTTTGTTTTGTTTTTGGATTTAAGTATAATCTGGTACTTTGTATGATGATCTTAGATATACTAGAAATGTATTCAAGGTTTTCATATTGATCATAGTGATTTTAACATTCTCTCAATATATAAAACCTATAAAGTATTCTATGTAAAGTCAAAGGAGCTTGCAAAGAAAAGCGTCTGGACTTCTTTAAGTTGCTTGAAGACGTTTCAGGTTAAATGTCTACACCGGCTACATAGGGGATGACAATGTTGTTGCGTCTGTCCTCCTCCCTCGCTGGTGTCTGGTCTTCTTTTCTGTGCCTCTTTGCTGACTTTAAGAAGACCAGACACCAGCGAGGGAGGATAAGAAGGACAGACGCAACAACATTGTCATCCCCTATGTAGCCGGTGTATCAGAGAAACTCAGGAGAGTTTTCTCCAAGCATGACATCCCGGTGCATTTCAGACCCAGTAACACACTCAGACAAAAACTGGTTCACCCGAAAGACAAAACGCCAAAACACAGACTTAACAATGTGGTGTATGCTGTACAGTGCAGCGAGGAATGCTCAGACCTCTACATTGGAGAGACCAAACAGCCACTTCACAAGCGCATGGCACAACACAGAAAAGCCACCTCCACAGGACAAGACTCAGCAGTCCATCTGCATCTTAAGGATAAAGGTCACTCTTTCGAGGATGCCAATGTTCACATTTTGGACAGAGAGGACAGATGGTTTGAAAGAGGAGTGAAAGAAGCCATCTATGTCCACTGTGAGCGACCATCTTTGAACAGAGGCGGGGGTTTACGACACCAACTCTCTGCCATCTATAATCCAGTTTTGAGATCCCTTCCCAGACGCCTTAACGCCCACTCACATCCTGGGCCATCTGACCTCAGGAATTCGCATGATAAGGTGGGGCCAGGTTTCACAATGAACTCACCCGAAACTCTGGCTGATTGGGACCCACACCCAGTCTCACACCTTGGCTCAGGCGATTAGAGGATCATCAGGGGGTCCTTTCTCACCGGTGGGGGGTTACTCCCACTAGGTTTATATCTGGGACTCTCCACCATTTGACCTTAGAACTGAAGAAGCTTCTCGGATGAGAGGTGAAACGTCTTCAAGTAACTTAAAGAAGTCCAGACGTTTTTCTTTGCAAGCTCCTTTGACTACGATGACCTGGATGACTGAGAACCTTCACAGACAATATTCTATGTAAATTTAACATCTCCTTTTGTCAGTAGCATCATTTCTTACAAAAGAGGTTATTTCTTAAAACTACTGGGTTACTTTTAATTAATTTATTTTTTGCCTGTTGTCAATTCAACTACTCATGACTTTGGTAAATAAACAGTGCTCCCACAGGAGATTTATAGTGTCTGTATTCGCCTTCTGCAAACTGGATTCACTGACTGTTTGGCCCATTCTTTATTGTAGTGCTGCCAGTGACTACAGGAAGAGAAGGAAGTCTGAGCCGTCAAGCTCCCAAGTGAATGCTCCATCTCAGAGCCGAGCTGCAACTTCCCCTAAACCAGTGGATGCCTACAGACCCAGCAGCAGCCTAAAGAAACCCGTCATTCGTTCCTCACCATCCTCACCCTCCAGAGCCAAAGGTAGCCACGCTTTCACAGATGCAGCTTCTTTCACTTCTGGGTATTTCATGAAAAGAGATATTTTTTTGTATTTTGCTGTTTGGCAAAGCCAGAAGAAAGTTACCATTACTGTTTAGCCACCAAAGGCTCACCCTAGGTCAGGTTGTGTTTGTTTTCCCTTCTTTTCCCAACACATGCATGTGAACTGTGCTTATATGATTTTGTTGGGTTTTTTGCAATATGATGCCTTTCTGGTATAAACCTTAAAGTTCACTGATTGGTGGAAGTCTGAAGGAAAAAAAAAAAGAACATCAAGTCATCTGTTTTTTCCATCCATTCTTCTCTCCTGTTTATTCTCCCTCTCCCAAGCTCTTCTACTGTTTTGCTGGGTATTATTTCTTAACTTGCTTTCCTCCTTCTTCTCTCTCACCACGCTGCTCTCTATTGGACATCTAAAAGGTGGGGACGCATGCAGCATGTATTCAAACAGTTTGACCTCTCCAGGTCCTTATCAGCAGCCCTTTGTTCCCCCAGTCCCATCTGACCCTCTCAATTCAAATGAGGATGGCAGCCAAGATGGCAGCTCTTCCTCCAAACAGTCTGTCTGTTGTAAGAACAGCTGGCAGACAAAACGCCAGAATGCTGAGACGTGGAGCAGTGCAGAGGAAGCGCCAGCTTCTCCTGCCAAGCTAAAGTCACGCAGTTGTGATGACCTACTCAACGATGGGCGTTCTAGCTCGGGTGGACGAAATGCTACCCGCTCAGAGAGTGCTGGGTCACTGGTATGCGATGGAAATCTCTCCACAGTATCATCATCTACTCGTTCATTACCCCGTCTCCATCGACGACGAGCACACGACTCGCCGGGCTTTCTCCAGCTCTATCGAAAGATGCACCAGATCGACAGAGCTCAGCTAATTCCATCTGAAGTCATCCGGTCGGTCCGTGCGCGCATCCTGGATCTAGAGCGTCAGCCTCATCTGCTTCGGCATCGCCTCTCTCCTTGGACACCCTCCTGGGGTGTGGAAGTGCCACGTGATATGGTGCCAAACCGCATTTCTGAATATGAGCGTCTTATTCAGAAATCCAAATCCATGCCTAACTTGGGTGATGGCGAGGTGCCTTCAGGCACCACTACACCAGGTGGCTCATCATCTCGAGCTAGCAGTGGTGGTGGTGTCACACCCAGTTATCCAAAACGCCGTTTTTCAATAGAGTCTTTACTGGAAGAAGACAACAATGGAAACAGTGGAACAGTACCTCAAACCATGGATCACTTACACCGACCTCGTAGCCCCCCTGAGGGACAGCCTCGTGTTGGACCAGACCCCGGGCGTGGACGGTCCTTCCCCGCTCCTCCTGTTCTCCAAGGCCCCCAAGCCAACCCAGACTATTCTGACAGTGAACAAGACGCTGTTGCCTCTGACCTCAGTGACTTCATTCAGGTTGAAGGCTCGTCATTTTGCAGTGAGAGTGACTTTGACCATTGCTCACTAACCTCCTCTGAGAGCCTATACGGCTCTTCCACCCTCCACCACCATCACCACCACCTCCGTCACCACCACCACCATCACCACCATCATCCTGGTCACCAGAGTCTTGGCCAGAGCCAAGGCTACCAACACCGCCATCTCATCAGCACCTGCAAAGGCCGCTGCCCGGCTTCATATACCCGTTTCACAACCATGATACGTCATGAGCGGGAACGCGCGCGACAGGAGCACCAGAGACCTTCACAGCAGACCCGCAGCAGCCATTCCCAAAACCAGAGCTCACAATCCCAGCAATCGATGTCCAAGCTGGCCTTCCTGGTCAGTCCAGTGCCTTTCCGCAGGAAAAAGGGCTCACCACCTACCTCTAGAAGATGCAGTGGGGGCGGAGGTCGAGGTAGCAGACCCAAGTCTAAACAGGCAATTTACGAAGCGCTAGATGCAGCCTTGAGAGACATATATGAGCACATTCAAGCAGAGAGAGGCCACAGAAATCCTCGGGCACCTGATGATAGCATCCTGAGAAGAATCTTGGCAGAACTGCTGCCAAATGTGCCAGAACGCAGCTCCTCGTTGCGGGGAAGGAGGGGGTGTTGGCACGGCGGTCACTCCTCTGCATCGTTGTACCCAGACAGTAGCCCCACTGGGTATGCCTCATATAGAGGAGAGCCCTCAACACCACGGTTACAGTCACCACGGATACAGTCACCAATCAGTGCCTGTTATGGACGACAGTTGGAGACCTCAAACAACAATGATTATGGAGAGGAGCAGGGCAATGGAAATGGTCTCTGTTATTCAGGTGGAAATAACACACATGTAACACCTCAGATACACACTACACTTAGCAGTCACTTAACATGAGTGTGTTTCACAACAAATACATGCATGCATACAAGCATAAATACACGAAGGCACATATACATCCACTTACATTTATCTCAGTGTCTCTTTCAGTTTTGTCTGCACTCGTTGCCCAGTTCTCTTCATTGATCTGCCGACACTTCCATTACCATGCTTTTCTGTTTAATTGTATGGCATTGATTAAGACCCATTTACTGTAAATTCTTGAGACAAATCTGGCTTTTTTTTTATTTTGTTAAGTTAATGTGAGTGAAGCTTCCTGCTATTTTTTTAGTAAAATAAGAGGACAGTGCTTCTGCTTTAATTTGAAACACTGCACAGAATGTGGAGTTTTATTGGCAGATCCTCAATGAACAGATGAAGAAAACAGTGGAGAAGCTGAACTATTACAGTGAAATAGTACAAAAGTACAGTGAGGGATACAAATAACATGGTCCAAGTATAATAAGTCTGTTTTAGCACTGATGAAAAGGGTTTGAAACAGGAGAGGGATTGTTTCAAATGCTGGCTTTGTTTTCTGCAATTTTGGAAGACAGATATTTGAGAATTTACAGTATATTGCTCTGTAATCCTGTCTCAAAGATGTAATATTTCTTTACACCTTACTTTTAGGCTCCTAATGAACGAGTCATTAACTGGATTTTGGAGTTTGGCTATACAAAGAATTGAATTCTCTCACCAGAAGCCGAGGTTTACGTGTAGACTTGAATTTATAGTTGGGTTTAGGCAGTGATAAAGCTTGTTTTGTGTCTCAAATCATAAAACAGAACAGGATGTGTAGTTACTTCAGGTGGATATTGATCAAACACTTTTGTTTTAAATGTGTTGCCTGTGAATGTGTTCAAAAAAATCTACTTTCATGTTCAGAGTAAGAAATAATAATCTGGTTACAGTTTCCTTCAAACTGAATTTGTTATTTCAGTTTATTTGTAAAGAAATATAACTTCTAAGAGACAAGGTTGATGTTTGGGGTAAATTGTTGTGAATGTTCCTTTTTTTTTTTTTTTTTAATGCATTTTGTTTTTCTTGTATCATTTGTCTGTTTCAAACATTTAATTATAGTTATCGCATTATTACCAGGTCATTTTCTTTCCCGTAATCCTTTTGATCCTACGTTTTTGTTGTTTGCCATATTTTTTTGCTCTGTATTCCCCGTGTTTCATTTTGTTTTCCGGGTATTTTGTAGCATCGCATGTGTCTATTTGTGCTGTTGTCCAATCACCTTGTTTTCTCCAATGAAAAACAAATAAAACACACCTGTTTATGACCCAAGCTTCCATTCCCTCATTTACCTGTTTGAGTGGCATCATCACTGTTTCCCAGATCACACTTTGTATTGTAGGTGATGTGGCATGTTCGCTTAGTAACTCCTGTGAACCTTTTCATGTGTCTCTGCTAATCACAGACCAGGACATCTCCAGGAGTTCCACACTGGATGGACGCCACACACCCCAGAACAGAAGACCCACTCCTGACAGAGAGGTACAACATTGGAACTGGTGGTGCACTTAACACATTTATACACGGTGCATTTCTCTCAAATAACATGTAATCAATGTGCTCAAAAGGGTAACGTCTTTGTCTTTAATTTCCCAGTTCTGTAGCACATTGATATTTATATTTATTCTTAAAAATTCAAAATAATTATGTTACATACGTGTTTCATATACCTGGTAATGCTTGTGGGCTTTCTTTCTCTCACTCCACTCTTTTAGGTCTCCCATAAACAGATGACACAACTTATTCTGTTCTCTCTCCTCCATCAGAAACAACCTGCAAGAGCCATTTATGATTTTAAGGCACAAACGAGCAAGTGAGTACAACAAGCTTAGAGTGCACGCGTGAGAGAGCCGAGTCTAAGAACGCAGACATCTAACTGCACGTCCGCAAACTCAATGTCCTTTATTTACATTTTGTAGTTGTAATATTGCTTTCATGTATACCAGTATAACACCTTACCACCATAATCTGATGGGGGGTTTTTTTCTTTTAGATGTATGCATGAATAAAGCTGCTTTCTGCATTGCTGTCTCTTATTATTTTGCTCTTATTACTTATATTATTTTGCTTTCCTGGCTGACATTTTGTCACCGATGCTCGTGCTGCAGAAGTCGCCGTGTCTTGTTCAGCTGCTATGTTATTTCCATGCAGTGGATGAAAGATGCATGCAGAGGCCCTTCACTCATAAAACTGTGTTACAGGGAGCTGACATTTAAAAAGGGTGATGCAGTGAACATCATCAGGCAGATAGATAACAACTGGTATGAAGGAGAGCACCGTGGGCGAGTGGGAATATTCCCTATAGCATATGTAGAGGTAAGTCGGCTGCTGATTTCTGGTCTGAATATGGCTTGGTTGTATTTGAATATGCATCTCCTCCAACATGACACGCATACAGGTTTACACCATTTTTCACACATTTACAGAAGATGCCGTCTTCAGAGAAGCAGCAGCCAATCCGTCCTCCTCCTCCAGCACATGTCAGAGAGATTGGAGAGGCAGTGGCCCGCTACAACTTTAACGCTGATACTAACGTGGAGTTGTCACTGAGAAAGGTATTTCAACTTAAAGCAGGTTTATAATGTTTTTGTCATTGATTTAAATATTTGAAGTGCTGGCTTTTGCAGTTATATCTAAAGGTAAAGATGTTACTAAATTGTAGTAAAAAAAAATGCAGTCCTCTGAAGAACTAAATTTGTGGTATTCTCTGTTCCATAGGAAGGAACTTCTAATCAAATGCAGTTTGATAAAGCAGACATATTGTATAAATTCCTCTATTCATATCAGATTTGAGGCCTAAAGCTAGGCCAAAACTGAGCCATGCAACAGGACAATGATCTCAAGCACAGCAGCAAATTTATAACATAAAGGCTGAAAAAGAAAAGAATCGATGTGTTACAATGATTGAGTCAAAAGCAAGAAAGTGCATAATGATATGCGCATAAATTGATGACAAAGAACTGAAGCAACGCCGTTAAGAAGAGTGGGACAAAATGATGTAAAATGACATGGGGGAAAAAGCCACATTGTGGTTTAAGTAAGTGTGAGAGGACCTGCTGTGGGGTCCTGTTCATTCCACCGTTCCTGATTTGCAGCTAAGTGCCTTGTTTGTGTGTTGTTGGTGTGTCTGATGTGTGCAGGGTGAGAGAGTGATTGTGATAAGGCAGGTGGATCAGAATTGGTATGAGGGGAAAATCCCAGACACAACCAAACAGGGGATCTTTCCTGTGTCCTACGTTGACCTTGTCAAGCGATCTCCATCCAAAAGCTCCGCCCATCACATAGATCCACATGGTTACCCCAGCAACAGGACACCAAGCTCCACACCCGTCAAGGTAAGAGAGTCTAGAGCCTGCTTGCTCGTCAAGCCACAAAAAACAATAGAGCAACTTCAGATCAGATTTGTGCCTTGAAGATATTGATTAAGTTATACTTGAACTTGGCTTTTATTATTTATTTTATCAAAGTTATAAGTAATCAGAGCCTAATTATTGTTAAATTACATTGTTACTGTTTAAAATCACGTGTTTGTGTGATGGTCTCTTTATTTCCTGTTTTATGCAGTTTTCCTCACAGTTGTATGGGATGTATGTATAGTCAAAGTTTATTACAGAGGACACTGTTTATTTTCAAATGCGCTCTATAAATAAACTTTACTTGACTGTACGACAGTGCAATAATGTAAATAATGCATCTCTTTCAGGGGCTTCATAAATTCATTAAGATGTGATTTTGGGGGGTATTTCTTCATCTTAAAAAAAGCTGTTGGTTATCAACTTGCACCCCAAATAAAAAGAAAATAAAGATCCAAAACTTCCCTTGTAACGGTAGTCTAGTAATTAGTGAATACTTTAACTTTAGTAAGTCTTCTGTTCTACCTTGAAGAGTCAAAACGTACATAAAAACACACAGCACGTCTCTGTTCTAGTTTCATAAATCACCCACTGTTCCTTCTTTTTTTGCTTTATTTTCATGGAGCCTTTCTATCATCCACCTCCACCTCCACCACCCACCACCCACAAACCCCCCTCCCCTCACCCCTCTTTGAGAAGCCTTGACCTGCAAGCCATCACCACCGAGTGGCTGTCCCTCACAGTGGAGCCGTCAGCATCCACTCAAGCTCGCTCCCTCACGAACACCCCTCTGCCGCCCACACCGCCTCCTCTCCCCTCTGACCTTGCATCTCTCCTAAAGGCTCAAGAGCCCAAAGCACTCTCATCTGCACAGCCACAAAAAAGTTTCACCTTGTCATCCCTAGCAACCACAGCCTGCAAAGAATTTTCCAGAACGCCCACTTTTAAAGACGCAAACCTCAGTTTAGGTCACACCACAGCTGTCTCACCCATCTCCCCCCCTACTCCTCCTCCTCCAGACCCCCATTTCTCATTAACCTCTCCACTGCCTGACTCTTCATTTCAATATAACTGTGGCAGAGGACTGCATATCACTGAGGAAGACTCAAACTTAGGAATTACTACGCCTGAGGTTTTATCAGAGCGGATAAAATCAGCCACACCTCCTGCACAAGAGCACAAATCCACAGTACGAGTAAACAAAAGCAGGGAAACCCCGGACACTAAACTGCAAGTCAAAGACCCTTATGATGAGCTGTTGTGCATGTTTTTGGATGGTTCCAGCAGCACAGATGATGGTGATGTTTTGAGATCATCTCCAGTAGATTCTTCAGCAGCTAAGCTGACCAAAACGTCCCAAAGCAGGCTCTTCCCATTAAAAGCGGAAGAATCCCATCAGTCGGACGTAAAGCCCCCAGCGGTCACTCCTGCAAGCAACTCAACAGGCAGCTTTCAGTTAGCAGTGCAGCTTCACAAGCCTGTAACAATGGAGCCCCTATGTGTTTCGTGGGGAGAGCAGTCAAAAAATGTGAATGGGCAACGTTTTGACTCGCATAGACCACCGTCAGTACAAGCAAAGGAATACACTGAGTTGTTCATTGAAGAAGACGATGAAGCTAGAAGTGAGAAAGAGCAGGATGTTAGAGTTTTAAATCAGATGCACAGCCCACAGGTACAGCATGGTGTGCACTACATCTGTTGAGTTTGGAAATGCTATAGGGCCTTAGAAGGGACATTGAGGAATTAAGTTAATATACTGTATGATGTCATTCCCCGCCAAAATTAGCAAGTGTGTCCCATCGTCCTTTTTTTATGTTTTGTTTTGTTTTCTCCCATCTCCTGCTGCGCGACTGCAAAATGCTGAGGCGCATAGTGCGTATAAGTCGCTAGCACTATGCTGACTCATTAACTGCAGAGCTCCAAACCTCTTCTGGCATTAACATCAGCATAGAAACTGTTCACCAGGAGCTTCTTGGCATTGGTTTCCATGGCCGAGCAGCTCCTGTAGGTGCAGTACACCCAGGGTTTTTGTTTTTTTGTTTGTTTGTTTGTTTGTTTTTTTGGGGTGGGGGGGTGTATTTAGTGTTCAAGAGGCACTTGAGTTCTCTTTCCAGTTTTTTTAAAAATTGCATTATAGACTTGTGTTCTTATTTCCATTCAACACTGATCACAAGATTTTTTGGAAACATCTCATACTCAGTGGAAACTAGTGGATATATTTTTGTTAATTAGGATACTTATCACAAGATTGTTTTTTTTTGTTTTATATATATATATATATATAGATAGATATAGATATATAGATAGATAGATAGATAGATAGAGATATATAGATATATAGATAGATATTATACTTTCCTCCATGTCCCGTCTGGGGTTTAGTAAATCACAAACAGAACAGCTCATCCCGTGATTACACTTGAGTATTCACATGTGTGTCTTTACCCCGTAGGCTGAAGTGTCTCCATCTACTCAGTTTGCCCACAATGGTCCCTCCTCCCCCTCCACACCACCCCCTGTGACCTCCCTGCTTTCCACTTCTTTTTCCTCTGCTTGCCCTTCATCCTCTTTCTCCCACACACAACAGCAGCACAATCGTAGTATCGTCCCTTCCTGTGACCATGCCTCCCCTCGTCCTCCGTCCCTTCCTCAGCTCACAACGTCACTGCTGCCTCCAATTTCTCCATCTCTCTCACCACCTCCCCTCCACTTCCCTCCAGACGATCCCTCTCAGCGGTCTGTCTCTCACCCCTCAAGCTCTCCTTTTCTTTCTAGTCCGGTCACGACATGTCCCATCTCAGAGCCAAATTTTCCCCTTCCTCCCGCTAACATTGCCCCTCCACCCTCCACTCAGCGCTGTCCCCCCACTGCCCCAACTGTACCACATCAAGGACGTAGGTCGCCTAAGGTGAAGGTAAAGCTGGCATGTAACGAGTATGCCGTTGATTTGTGGTGATGAGGATGATAAGAACTCTCATAATAGTGTATTTCTCTAACTACTAAGACGTGAACTGAATTGAGAAGTAACTGATTGGTTATATATATC